GCTCTGCCCACCACGGGTATCGAGACCAGGATTCTAGCGTTGTAAGTCCGCAGACATACCGCTGTGCCACTGGGGAGGAGGGGGCGAATTTTCCTCGTCTTTTAAAATTTGTCTATTTCGCTGGCTTGCGGGGTATACACGAGTGAGGGTAATACGCGCCTAAATGTTTCCTAGAACACTTTTTTTCTTCCAGTGCGGGGCATACCAGGGTGGGTGGGTTATTTACGTGAAAATACGGTACTACACTATTGGCTACCCTAATCGCTCGTGCTCTTCCCCCAAGAGACCATTTGCGCCTAGTGTGAGGGTGTCCCTCACTTCGGAAAACGCTGTCGTAAGACATATCTATAGCTTTCAATCTTGTATGTTTCACGTGTTTTGTTCAATAAACGTATTATGAGTTGTAGGCATTAGAATTTACCATTTTAGCTAAATCAGCGAGTGGGGGTAATCTGAACAGTGCAAGGGTAATATGAAATCAGGTTCGGGCTACCCCCGGGTGTAATATGAAGTCTTTACACCGGTCACTATTGGGTTTGATTGAGTTCACGAGTTACTCAATCAAATTTGCGGAAGCCAAAAAGCATACTGTAGTTTTAGAACATTAAAAACAAATCCTAAAAAGCACGGCTGTAAACATGGGCTTGACGCTAGCCCGAAGATTCTCCACAACATTTTTGTGTGTACAGACATCAATACTTCAGTCACCATGGAGACTGGATTTTCTAAGAAACGTGTAAATGTAAACATGGGGTTTTTCGTCACAGTAAAACTTTATTGGTGACTTTCTTTGAAATATTTAAAGTAAACAACCGAACCTAGGAACCGGTGAAACGGACACCAAATATTCTATATCAGCACAACAATATTATCCTTTCGCTCAAATCTGGTCGTTGATTGGCTGTCAACTTACGGTTGCCACTGTTATATCATGTTGAAACTGCTCCCACCCTACAACTTGTTACTGTTATATCAGGTTGAAACTGCTCCCATCCTACAACTTGTTACTGTTATATCATGTTGAAGCTGCTCCCATCCTACAACTTGTTACTGTTATATCATGTTGAAACTGCTACCATCCTAACAACTTGTTACTGTTATATCATGTTGAAACTGCTCCCATACTACAACTTGTTACTGTTATATCATGTTGAAACTGCTCCCATCCTACAACTTGTTACTATTATATCATGTTGAAACTACTCCCATACTACAACTTGTTACTGTTATATCATGTTGAAACTGCTACCATACTACAACTTGTTAATGTTATATCATGTTGAAACTGCTACCAACCTAAAGTTCGTTATGTTGTTTCAAGTATAATGTATAACAATCCCCGTAATACACATAATAACAAGTCGTAGTTGCTAATTTTTACAGCAGATTACACCTGTTTTCTTTTCTCTATAGCTGTCCAAGACTACACAACATAATCAGAGGTCTGTGTACTGTTCGTTTCCTTACACAGCCGGAGGAGGGGAAAATAATTATTCGATTCATCACGAAAACATTATTATAAAGTCACATAAAATGTTAGTAGTTCTAGAAGAGAAATAAAAAAATCTGGCGTCTGACCCCCCGCCCAGATACTGTCTCTACGTGGTATCTAAGTTTGATTCACTCTAATATTTGGAGCTGAAAACTGCACACACAAAAACATGATAACAAACGGATCGTGTCACACACATACACATGTTCTATACATCCAAGAGATTTGCCTTAACGTGTAAAAGCGCTCTCTACGGTTTTCCACAGAACACGACAACAACTTGGCAATGATGCTAAGTGTGCCGATATCACAAGGTTCTTATAATTACCAAAAGCACGACGTCAATCTACAAAATAAACCGCCATTTTGGTACTTGGCATGCCAGTCTTCTACCGCAATAAAACAAGAAAAAAAAATGTTTTTGCGCTGTAACCATAACGTGCATCTAGGCCTTATTGACAAGAATGAGACAATGTTTTTTTTATTATTATTATACAGCAATATTACCTGCGTTATGGCAAACAAAATAGGACTGTATTGCATGATAACTTCTCTGATAATTAGTGGTTAATTTTGGTCAATCTTTACGATTTCAAGAATCAATTTTGATAAATGGTAAATTATCTCCCTGCCAGTATGCAAAATAAATATCCCAAAATCACGTGGCCTGATTTATATTTCGAATTGTCTAAAAGTAACCCTAAAAGCAATACGTTTATGACAATGGTAGTAAGAAAGAAAGGAGGATTTAGAACTTGACTTACTCTGTTCAGGAAATGGGAAAATGATTTAAAAACGCTTTCATGAAAGAAAAAAAAAAGTCAATATCTTTGACAAACTACTCAAGTTGTTTAGCCTAAACTAACTATAATAACTAGGCCTAAACAATTCTGATAAGAGAAACTTTAAATGTGATACACTGTCCTGAGCAGTTATATTCACTGTGAAATCTGCACAGTTCCCAGTCTATTTTAAATAAATAAAATAGGGTAAAAGTCCAAGCTGTAACGTGAATATATACAAGTTTTGTAGAATCACTCACCAAAAAATGTTTTTTTGTTATAGGTTTTCTGCCTAATGTCTTTGGCATACAGTTTTCTAAGCTAGACCACTTATAAAATCTCAGAAATTAGTAGGATCAAAACAGGGTTTTTATGTTTTTCAAAGAATGCTTACCAAGTTATCATTCCTTTATTATGGGTTTTGTTTACTTTGTTTTGTTTTTCACATTTTTTTATGAAAACAAAACTACACACACGTGTGGTTTTAGATCGGTTGAAACTATAGGATTTTGTAGGTTTTATTCACAAAAAATAAGACCATTTGCAAAATATAGGTTCATTGGATGGCCTTAAGGCCCTAAAAGGGAGAAGCGGGATTTGAACCTGCAACTCTACATACTGCACGTGCTTCTAGGTGTGTGTGTGTGTGTGTGTGTGTGTGTGTGTGTGGTGAGGGGGATTAGTTTAACTGATTGAGGCATCGTGTAAGGAAGTTATTAACAATAATATTTTTTGTTGTAGTAAAAAAAGTTTTTAAATATTACAATAAACCGTTAATATATGTGTACCTGATAATGGATAAAATAAATTTTCTTTCAGGACGTAAGACGTAAACCTGCAGCTTATTGTCATACAGTATTTGTTTTCACACGTGCGAGACGTTCACTTTCGATGATGGCTTTCAGTGGGTAGTGGCAGATAAATATTTTTATTACATAATTTTAAATTTAGGTACAATTCTTACGTCGCTGGTATATACAAATACAAAAACAATCTAAATCTTAAATATCATAACGATAGAGAGTGTCAAGGCATGTGGCACGTGGGAGCATGTATGTAAATAAAAATGGATCTCTATGATTCAAAATCAGAGGGTTACTCAAGTTTAACAAGCTCTTTTTTTTTAGTCCATTTTGAAAATGTCAATCAGAAAAATTGCACCGACAACTTAAATAACTAACGGTCCAGAATACTGCTGTTTGTGGTATAATTTAACTAACGGTCCAGAATACTGCTGTCTGTGGTATAATTTAACTAACGGTCCAGAATACTGCTGTTTGTGGTATAATTTAACTAACGGTCCAGAATACTGCTGTTTGTGGTATAAATTAACTAACGGTCCAGAATACTGCTGTTTGTGGTATAAATTAACTAACGGTCCAGAATACTGCTGTTTGTGGTATAAATTAACTAACGGTCCAGAATACTGCTGTTTGTGGTATAATTTAATTAACGGTCCAGAATACTGCTGTTTGTGGTATAATTTAAGTAACAGTTCAGAATACTGCTGTTTGTGGTATAATTTAAGTAACAGTTCAGAATACTGCTGTTTGTGGTATAATTTAAGTAACAGTCCAGAATACTGCTGCTTGTGGTATAATTTAAGTAACAGTCCAGAATACTGCTGCTTGTGGTATAATTTAAGTAACAGTCCAGAATACTGCTGCTTGTGGTATAATTTAAGTAACAGTCCAGAATACTGCTGTTTGTGGTATAATTTAAGTAACAGTCCAGAATACTGCTGCTTGTGGTATAATTTAAGTAACAGTCCAGAATACTGCTGCTTGTGGTATAATTTAAGTAACAGTCCAGAATACTGCTGTTTATGGTATAACTGCAAACATTCAAACACCCAGGATTTACACAAACTTTCCAAAAGAAAATACAACGACTTTCCGAGACATTTTCCAGGATCCGTGTGAATTCTGTCCACGCTGCCCGACACGTAAAGCGAGTTATATTTAAATGTAAAATTTCTAAAGAACATATATGCCTAACTTAATGGTTACTATATTCAAATACATCACTGGATTCAACGTTTTCTATGCAAGACTTCCGTTAACTGTTTCAATTATCATGAGAGAACAAATGTCATTCAGTCAAACGATTGTTAAGAAAGTCTGAACATTTATTCCGGTGATACAGTGGAATAAACAACTTAAGTGTTTATTTTTGATGAGTTACATAAGAATCGCAAATGAAGACTGAATTTAGTAAAAAAAAAAAAAATACTTAAACGTTTCACTTTTTTTTTTCAAGTGTTAACACATACCCGAAATTGCTGAAGCATGACTCAATGAAAAACCAGTCTTCTGATGCATATTAAATCAGTATGATTTAAAGGATAACTCTACGCGTGGGTGAAGAGAATACAACAAAAATAGTATGATTCAAGAATAATCGCAGATAAGATATAAAACAGTTTTTAAACCGACAAGGTGAAAACATTTTAAAATATGTACAAGATTTATTGGTGTTTCGAAACTTGAAGTCAGTTACAATAAAAAGTATACAAAACCTCGAATTTAAGGAAAGTGTCAAATTAGAAGTTACAAATAAATAAATACTTTTTTTTTGGTCTATGTTGTTTCTTACCTCTTCTTTGATTTCATTCCTCTTCTTCAAGAAATATCGATTTCAAGGGATTTTTAAAAACAGTATCGTAGGAGACTGAAATGACGTATTAAAACATAATTAGTTGTTTTTCTTTAAATCACTTTTAAAACATTGATACAGTTTCAAAAAGTAGGTGAAATCAGTTAAACAGTCAATGAAATTAAAACAAAACACTTGTTAACTTGTTACTACAGAGTTCGTTATTTTTCCTTCCTTTTAGTTGTTAAATATTAACATCTAAAGAAATATAGGTGGAGTTGTATGTTACCCAATAACTTCATTCAACTGCCAAAATTCACCAATAAAATTAAAAAGGGTTACGACGTTTAAATCAAATCCCTCGCCATGTAGTTAACTTGTATTTTATACAAAGGCAGAGAGAGATGCATGCATAAAGATTACACTGGATCAATAGAGCAACAAGAAATAAGGAAAGGCCTTAACGAGTGTGGTTAAACAGCCATCACTCTAATGCAACATCAAACTAGCTTTAAAAATCGCTTTCTAGCACATTTCGTGGAGCTGGGCGTGGCCTAGCGGTTAATGTGCTCAGACTAAGAATGGTTCACGTCCGGTTGCCTCAAAAAATGCGTCCCGTGGGTACATTTTACGGTCAGGCAAACATTTAGCCCAAGAGTTAGCAGTGGGGTACTGTTATGCGCGGATAGTCCTTGTGGAATTACTTAAAAGTTTTCTGCAACTCCCCCCCCCAAAAAAAAATCCAAAACTGTTCCAACACCGGGAATTCATTAACATCCAAAGAAAATATTCCACGTTTTATTATTATTATTATTAAATTTTAAAACAAATAACTCTTCCGAGTTGTGGAATCTGAGGTTAAATACAATGTCTGAAAGTTAATTTTCAACACGGACCATCAAGGATAGATAGATCCCCTCATTGTAAAATTACCTTAAAATTATCCCTTTACTACATTTTTATGTAATTTCATATCCCTGGAAAAGGAATCATTTTCAATATAATTTCAATTGAAAAGCGATATCCCCACACTGAATTCCGATTATATTGAAAGGTGATATTCCTTCACTTAACCCTAATAAACGAGATATTCCAGAGTATTTATACAATTTCAATAAATTGCTCCAATATACTAAGTGATGCTCGTCATCCTTCCGATTATTTTGAAAGGTGATATTCCTTCACTTAACCCTAATAAACGAGATATTCCAGAGTATTTATACAATTTCAATAAATTGCTCCAATATACTAAGTGATGCTCGTCATCCTTCCGATTATTTTGAAAGTTTATACATTTTGAAATTCCAAATCTTTAATCGCATGTAAACGAACATCGGTTTCCAATGAATGGAATTGATTAACTAAAATTGTATGCGAAACCAACATGGTTTTTGCCGATATTTTTAACATGTTACAATACAGAAACAGAAAAGGCACTATAAATGTATATTGTAAAAAAAAAAAAAAAAAAAAAATAAGTAGTCTACGTTAAAACCCTGCGTGCATCATCTATGCTGTATGTTACGTTACACCTCGTACATTGACATGGCGTTTACTATACCATAAAAGTATATAGTTAGAATACTTAAACTGTCGGTATGGTTTTCATTCACAAGCGAATCAATGAATGCGCGAGCTTTCAAGCTCGTGAAGTTATGAACGGTTGAATCACTTCCCTGAATTCTCAAGTTACAAGTTTAAAGTATGAAGAACAATGTATGCAAGTATTTATAAACGCATAATAAAGTCCTCTGATTAAGCCAACTATGCATATTTGTTATCAGTCACATTAAACAGGAGTATCTTAAGTGGCTCGATACTCGAGTTCGACGCGGATGTACACATACATATATGGTATTTGTATTAAACTATGTTAAGTGTTGTTCCAGCCGATCTAGACTGTTGGCAAACCAAATAACGACTTGACCAGTTTCACTTCAACACTGAGATGTGCATCAGTATATTTTCATCGCACAAACACGAAGCAACGATTTTGTTACTGAACGTTTTTCTTTTTTTAGGACATAGTAGCTTCATTGTGAAATTCTCCCACCAGGTGAATTTCTTTTAGCATTGAAAACAACTCCACCAAACGGTGGCCAAAGTTTTATATACATCTTAAATATTACTGAAACGACAAGATGTGTTTTGATAAACCAAAGAAAAGCGTTCATGTCTGGATGATTTTTGAAAATATTTTTTTCTTGCTTTCACAGAGTCTATTGCCCTTAAAAAACAAAACAAAAAAAAAACATCAATTCTTTCCATTCTCAAGTTTAACTCCCGCCATCGGCAATTTCATTCTTAGAACACAAATCGTATCTTCTGAATAGTTATCGTTCGGAAGGCAACTTAAAAACTGGAGATAACCTTTCGATATCACGCTCAGCTAAGTAGCTGTTAGGCATACATACACTCACACGAAAATGATTAGAAAAGCATCTCGTCGCTGCTTCGAGGCTTAATCCTGTTCTTTTTAAATTATGGAAAGCCGTTTAATTTCAACTACGAAACCTCGCTAATCAGTTTTCTTATATGATAGTAAATACTATAGGCTACAGCAAACACTATTGTCTATAAACCAGAAAGAAATCCTTCATAGTATTATTAAGTGCATGTCCTCAAATTCGGTGACGAGGAACCCACTTTGAGACTAATAATGGCTGGAGACGGCTTGAATGGGTAATGAAGAAAAACTTTTATATAAGTTTAACATAAACAGCAAATGTACAACGTTTCGACAAGATTTTGTCTGATGATGACAAAACCTTGTCGAAACGTTGTACATTTGCTGT